TAACAATAGATTTCACAAAATAGGGAGAATAAACTTTTTCATTTAAATAAAATCCACATTAAATGTTTTAAATTATGGAAAGGATTACAAGTTCATATCAAATAACTACTATAGGACCTATTCAAATACAACAGTTTCAAAATAATATTTTAAGTCCTATAGCAGTTCCATCCACCCCTTCACTGAGACCGGTGTTGATCGTCTTGATTACCTGAAAAATGAATGTAAAGGTGAGTATTCTGCACTACTCATTACACAAACAAACATAGAGTCTCACATTGCACCTATTTTACATCATTTCTAACACAATTCATAAAATATATTAACAGGCAGCAATACTACTCCGTTCAATTTAATTCAAACACCGATGCACTCACGACATCAAACAGTTTACACACACAAAATTAACAAATAATAATCTCGTATACTCACTATATGTCAGTCACGCTTACGGTGGCACTGTGATCACATATTTTCACTATGGATAGTCGCCGATTACTCCTATCTCACGGATATCACGTGGGCAGTCACAAGTCGCTCAGCAAAGGTAGTGGTCAGAGGTCTAGTCAGGAAGAAAGTGTAAGTGTGTGACCAGTGGTGTACCTGCTTCCATTGTCGGTATCACCACCATTTCCTCTTCCCCAAGGTATTTTTACCGTCCTCATCTTCCACATCCTTAGTGTATCATTGAACTATTTACAGCATGTTACACCGACATTAATCACGCCTCATTCACACACATTGCAATATTCATTCTTAGTATATGGCATAAAGCCCACAGTCATGCATAATACACGATACTAGGCCCTCATTTGTTTTACAGTACACGACACAAAGCCTATATTTATTCATATTACACGGCGCTTGGACCCACACTTGTTCACAATATTCATTCAAATATACGGCACAAGTGCCCATACCCATTCACAATACTCGGCATATATGCCCTCATTCTATTACACGACATTTATTATATAATCCACATTCATCAGTTTCGAGTAAACACACATTCTTTCATCCACACACATAATATTCACATTTCACGGCACATGGTCCACATCATATTTCACAACCATTCCCATTAACACATATTTCCTACCTTCTAACTCAGCCGCATCACAACATTCAACGAAATAAATGACTAATCACACATATTGAGGTAGGGTAGAGTCCTCCTTTACCTTGAATTGAAGACCTACACTCGAATTCAACCACGGAAGTGCTCTCTACACGAATTTCGGCCTAAATGCATGGAAGAACTTCATGAGAATTCAAGGAAACCGAGAAACAGAGAAAGGGAATGAAAAATGAAAACCTTAACCATTAAAACTCACCTTCAAGCATTCCTCACACGGATTCAACCTTCAATCTAGCTCCCGAACGGCTTTGGAGGCAATTTAATCGGTAGAATAGAGTTTTTGATTGAGAGAATCGAAGAGATTTGGAAGAGAAATAGGGAAATGAAATTCCAATCCCTAAACCCCTTTTTAAAACTCCTCTGGTCGCGACACTCTCGCTACAGCGATAATCTCTCATTGCAGCAACGCCTCTTGTCCCTACAGCGAAAATCTTAGACGAATTTGCAACCTAATTTCTGCAGAATCTCGCTACAGTGAGACTGCACCCAGAAATGTACCACAAACTGTTCCTTTGTCGCTACAGCGAGACACTCTCGCTAGCAACAAAGCGACAGTTTCACACCTTCCTCCCAGGGCCCTCTCGTATAGTGAGACATATCTCCCTGCAACGAGAACACTCTGCACCAGAACACGTAGCCAAAAATTCAGTTCAATCCCAATCATCTACAATTATAAATACACTACACAGAAAAGTCAACCTAAATACTTATATTAATCAACTATATTACAAAATTCGGGACATTACATATGATGTTGATACTCTCACTCTTACAGTTGCAAAGGTTGATGCCTTGTAGCATATACTACTAACAACTTTGTAGGATTTGTGGTGTAGAAAATGTGGCTATAACTTGCCAATTAAGTATTGATATTTATCATAGTCTAGAAGTAGGACAAGTTAATGTTATGAATGACTTTTTGAATGCTTTCAATTCTAGTTATAAGAATTAACCTAATGTCGTTATAGAGACAAATGGAATTAGAGTAGAGAAATTTTAGACTTCCTCTAGGATTTTATCAACCTAAAAATTGCATACTAGAAAGCATGATGGAGATGTTTGTTGCAAGCCAAATAAAGCAAAATGAGAAATTTGAATAAACAGGACAAATTTTATGTGAAGTCATTCTACAATTGGCATCTATAATAGACCTTTTAGTCACACACAGCAAGATGTTAGAGATTTAGATAACACAAGTTAATGCTTCTTCTAAACTACTTGACATGTTTCTTAGACAATATGAGACCAACCTTATTAAGCATTGCAATGAAGTCATATTAAGAAGTGGTAAATAGTCGATTCTCCAAAAGCAATATATGAAGTATAAGTGAAAAAAGAGGTAGAGAACATTAATATGTCATCAAAACATGATGAGAATGAACAAGGATTTAAAGAAAAGAGTGAAGAACATATATACACTCCACCAAAAGCATACAAGTCACTAATATAATTTCTTTGAAGGTTGACCCAAGATAAGTTATATTAGTATTTTGATAAGTTCCTAAATATGCTTGAGAAGCTCTACATCAATGTGTCATTCTTTAAAGTCTTAAAATAGATGTCTACATACTCTAAGTTCTTGAAGGACATCGTGTTCAACAAAAGAAAAATAGAAGTGAGATAGTGTCACCAACTAAAGAGTGTAGTGCAATTATTCATAATAAACTACCTCTAAAACTTAAGGATTCAAATAATTTTTTGATCATTGTTGAATTTATAATTATGAACTTTGACAATGTTTTATGTAACCTTAGAGTTAGTGTCAACTTAATGTCTTTCTCTTTGTATAAGAAGCTGAATATAGGTTAATTAAACCCACCACAATTTTCTTGCAATTGAGAGATCATTCTGTCAAATATTTCATGAGTATTTTGAAAGATGTTTTCATCAAAATAGAAAAATTATTCATTTTTATTGATATTGTGGTCTTAGAGATGGAGGAAGGCACTCAAACTCCCATCATTTTAAATAAACCTTTCTTAGTTACAAGAGCCATTATTGATATAAAAGAATGACAAGCTTTCTTTTACTGTTAGTAATGAAAGCATTGATTTTAATTTATCTTGTTCTATTAAACATTCTTCTATTGAGAATTCTTGTTACAAGGTTGATCTATTGCATCAAGTGGTGGAATAATAAGCTCCAAAATGCTTGGTTGAAGACCTACTTAATTTGGTTTTTATTGGTATTAATCCAAAAGATGACCTTGATGATAAAGTTGCTTAGTATGCTTATTTATCGGAGATAACTTTGCAAATTTCACCTAAGCATGCCGAGGTTGATAATAGAACATGGGTCAAAGGGATATGATTAGAGAGAGGAAAACACATTACAAGAATCTTTTTTATCTAAAATTTCAACCATTTTGAACCAAATTAAACATCTAAACTACTATGTCCAAGATGATTTTGTAGAGAGAAGTATTGAATGGTTGTGTTTTTCTCCACACTTATGCTTCAACTCTCAATGCAAAGACTAAATCTCAATGAAAAATTCATGCATGACTTTGGCTTAGAAAGGACCATAGTCATGGTCCCCCATATACTATAAAGCAATGGAGTAAGGTTATAAGAACATTTAAAGTTAATGGCTAAAGGTTGAAATATTATAATAAAAATTTGTGAAAAAAATGAATGCTTTGTAATTTTATTAATCTTGTTATGGTTTATTTACTTACAAGGGTCAAACTTAAGATCTTAAATAATTACTTTGTGTGAGACAACTCATGACTTAATTATTTTTATTTGAATCATTTTAAATTTTTATTTTTATTTTAGTTTATTACTCTTAATTTCAATTATGTTGGCACATGAATTTAGAGAATGTCCTATTTAACTTTTAAAACAAAAAATTATAAATAATAGAAATAAAGAAGCATCAATAAGATTCATTGATAGCATGAGTAATTTACCCTAAAAATAATTGCATTTGCCTTTTTATTACATTTATGTCATGTATCTTTTATTTTTATTTTATTTGCATTATTATTTTAAGATTGTTTTCATGTATATTTTGCTACCACTAGGTAATAAACATTAGATAGACCAATTGATGTAATAAACCTTATGCATTTTTAATTGGTTTACTATTTCTTCACTATAAATCTAATTTTGTGATTTTTTATTTAGAAAAATACTCACTTTTAGAAAATTAAAATAAATAATTGATGAAATTAAATTTAGAAATAAAAATTGTATACTTTATAAATATTGAAAATAAAAAAATTATGAATAATCAAGTGCAGCTTCTAGATCAAAGAATTGCAGAAAAAAAATATTCAGTAAATCAGTCAAACTATTTTAAACCAAATTGGTTATTAAGAGGTTATTTGGAATGAGAATTTGAAAGAAAAAGGAGAACAGATTTTTTATTTTAAATAAATATATTTAAAATTAATAGTTTATTTAAAACAAAAAATATAAATCAATATATCAACTTAAACTTATTACATTAGTCATACATTTATCATCATCATAAATTATTTTTCATTTTTCAATATAAAATTAAAAGAATATACTCTCATTTGTTTTACTTCAAAATTTAAATACTCCTTTGAGACTAGGAAAATGTGCAAACCGCTAGAAGTAGAACACTATTTGTTTCTCTTTGATGATAATTGTCTCTAAGCTAGTACACTTCGGCGTTTACACACTTGGTTAATAAGTCAAGGAATTGGCTTTTGTTTTAATAATGTTTTGAATTTGATAAATGCTACCTATAGAAAGCCCAAGTAAATTATTAAGGAATTAAACTGGTGTTTGCATTAGTTTCAGGCATGTGCCAATTTTTGCTTGAGCGCAAGCAAAAGTCTAAACTTGGGGATAAAAGAATCACGTAAAGGAACGACACCTCAGACTTGTATGAAAACTATTTGATCCCCCAAAAAAGGCATTTTCACAAATTTATAATCTACATTAGATACTACAAAATGTCACCCATACACGCATTGAAGTAGATATAATCTGCCTCACAATCTGGGCACAAACCATAACATATCCTCACAGAATTCCAAAACCATATCAAAACTGTCATTGCAAGCTTAAATATAACCCATAATATAGACAGGTTTGGTGAATATCTAACCAAACCTCCTAACCAACACAAAAAAGCAAATTCACCAAACTCAATTGGGACTTTTACTACGTGCTACCACCTTCTTTAAACCTCCACCAAACTCAATGTAAACACACTGCACATAGAACAAGTTAGAACTGGCACTATGGTGCCAGTGCCCCGATGGCAGTTTAGGGCATTCGTTGACAGCATCACCTGTGACATGGTAGGTGCTGTTGTAGAAAATTAACACAAGCTCCAAAAGCCTTCTTACCCTTTAGAACTATTTACCCCCTGGTCTTGGCCCTCTTCATACCAAGGCTGTTATGGAAGGGTGAAACAGAACCAGACATAGGAGAACCCTCCTCGCGAAGAGTTCCATTGAGCATAGCCAGCTCTCGAAGCTGCTGCTTCTTGTAGAAATCCTGAGATTCATCCTGAAACATTAAACATCAAACAATTAGAACAATATCCCTATAAAGTCCACTACCAATCTCAATTAATAGAATTCACAAGAACATACCACCGGCTTGAGCAAATCTTCAAGTATTTCTCGTGCCTGCATCAAGCGAGCATCTACTATTTCAACAGGTAATTCTGCCTCAACTAAAATGTGGAGGGGTTCATTCAGATGCTCATACCCAGGTTTCCCTCTCATCAACTCCTCCTACAAATATATTAGAACTTGTTCACTAGAACTCCGCAACTATCCAATTAAAATCTACAGAACATTACACAATGGATTTACTAGGCTGGTTGGTCATCAGACCATGGAAAGATATAACTACAACATTTACTGGACATACATTCAGACAATCCAGGGTGCTATACCAATTAATCAAATCATTTTTGTAAAGATCAATGGAACATGACAAGAACCTCAAGAAAGTCATGGATATCTGGATAAAATATATGGGGATATATTAACCAGATGTTGGAGTACAAACACAATGATTTGACATATGGAAAATCAAGATAAAATTATCTTCTCAATGGATTTCAAATTTTCAACATCTTTGAACTGTAATTTAATCTGGTACAAATGATCACGCTAATGGCTACAATAGACGATGTTTATTCTTACCTTAGTTGGATCCTTAATGCTACCTCGGCCCCTGATCAAGACACGACATTCAGTACTTGCTTCTACACGCTTTAAAGAGTTCCCTCTAGGGCCTAGGAGACGACCAACAAAGTTATACTGCAATAAACCAATGCCAATATTAGATCCTGCTATTAAGAAAATTTTGGTATCTTGGAGCAGAGACACGATCTTCCATACATTAGGATATGTATCCACAGGTATATCCACTCTGACTGTCTTTTTAACAATAAGACCAGACGAGCTGCCTTGTGGACTCAGCCAGTTTTGGGTAGATGAAGACTGTAACAAGCCTGGCATCTGCATGTTTAATTCCAACATCAATTACAAGAGATAGGGGGCGTCTATTTACAGGCATGCAGATGAAATTATTGTTGTATCTGAGGCCACCGGGAGATCACCAAAAGGGACTAGTCACTACACTAGCTGCTTAAAATTCAAAATAAGTTGATAACACAGAGAAAAATTACCACATGCAGAGAGTACCTATCAACAGCCATACAAAATGCACATGTCCTGACTATGACAAATAAGGAGGATCAGTGTGCAAGAAAATGATGTGCTAAATGAAGTTTGGAATTGCAATTTAACTCAAACCATGAAGGGATTAGGATAATTAACAAGTAACAACCAATTTTGGTAACTTAGCTAAGAAGTTTATTCCTCAAACCTCATAAAACTTACTGTTTCACTTTCCTCGTAATAGGCAAACACCTAAGTGGCTAGTATTAGCATTCTACCATGTAACAGAATCAAGATTCACATGCTAATATATTCAGATTTATCTAGCTGTGACTATTCATCACATCTGTGATTTGGTAGAAAACTGTAAAGGCAGTTAAGTATTGACATCTGATTTATCTTGATACAAAAGGATGAGATCCACTAGCAGGATTATGGAAACAGAAGTTAAGCTATAGATTAATTGTCAGAGCTTGATGTTAGGTTTGCACTACCTGTCACAAACAATTAGATCTACAATCACTAGAACAAATGTCATGAGTGTTAGCATGAGATGTAAAATTGAGTCAGAAATACTTCTAAAATACAGAATTAGATGGAAATGAATTAATAAGTTATGTTAATGGTTAGTATCCGTACTTCTGATTGAAATCGTGATGCCCATCCGTTCACATCGGCACCTCCATTTGAAAATATTCCTCCAGTAGCCAGGGGGCTAGGATGTTCAAGCCCACTTTGACCTAAAACTGATGCATTCCCCAACAGCGTGGTTACACGCAAAATTTCTGCTCCAAAAATGTCAATTTTCAAGAATAAGATGTACCAGTCAGCATTTGTTAACATGTTAGCAGTCACTACATAATCGATGCAACACGGATGTTTGCTGAGTCAGTAAAATCTAATACTACCCTTATGACACATGTTCCACCTTTTAATTGTAGTACTCTGAATAGTAAGGGAAAAAAATGCAATAAGTGTCATCTAATCTAATACTTAAAGAAAAAGATAACACACACACACACATATCTATATAAAACTTTTTTAAGTCATTTAGAAAAACACTGAAACAGGTACCTTCAACAAAACCAAACATTTAGTTTCAAAACATCTTTCAAAACTGAATGATATCTAAGAGCTTGTTTTACATGGAAACATTTCAAGAGCTTAAACAATTATTTTTGTAAGCACACACCTTTAGAATAACATGAAGTAGCAATCACATATACCAGCTGGAAAATTTTCTTTTTGTTGCTTGCTCATAGGAAAACAATTATTAATAACAAATAAAATCCTAGAACCTATACAAACAAACTAAATTCTACCAAAACCAAAATAGCAGAACCCTCTATCCCATTCAGATAAGAAAAAGAGTAATGGCATCTAATTTTGTCAATTCCTTAACAAGTAATACATCAACTTAAGAAACAAACCTTACACTAAATTAATAAGCATTTTAAAATATTGATTTGCAAATTATCAAAGCAATAATAAACATCTGATCCAATTTGGGTTCATTCGGAAGTTGAAGGGGAAGGACAGGAAGAAATGAAGAAAATGATGGGGGAGGAAAGGAAAGAGTATTTGAGGTTAAGTAATAAATTTTATTCCATTTGTGGATGTTTAAAATCTGTGAAATTAAAGAAACTCAAATGCTCATAGAAATTTAATAGGCGAGGATTTTGTCAGCTTGCATGATAATCTCTGTTTGCTCTCCACATTTTAGAAACTCCAGAAAAATAACATTTTCTTAAATCCTTCTCCTTTTTTCTCAAACCTCCTCTATCTCATAATGATAGAAACAGATCATTTGTTATGAGATGAATGAGAAGGTTTGTCATGATGTTTAAGAGCCTCAATTCATGCACCTGATGAATCACTCCAGAAGAATTTAACCAAATTTTTGCTTTAAATTACTTTCAATTGAGATCGAAAAACCAACACAGATTTCCTGCCACTGGTTTTGCTCATACTCAATTATTAAAAGTTATTTGACTTTCATAAAACTAAGCGTTATGAGATGAATGGTAAGGATATTAGGTCTGTTAAGGCCCTTTACAAGGCTATTAGGAGCAAATAAGCAGTCTTTCAATCAATTGAACCAAGAGTTCAGATTGGAAGATTTAAAGGGTTATTAACCTAGAGTCCCAGTACAAATGTTATTCCACTTAAAATCTTTACCCTTTCTAACTAATTACATTCTGTTGTAGTTGGTATCACCGTTTCCACTAAGGCAACTACAAGTTCACACGTTTCACTTCAAGAGCTAAAAAGCTATCTGTTACAATTCCACGAAGAATGCCTCACAAGAGAAGACAGAAAGAACAGATCAAGAAGAGAGGGATAGAGGAGAGAAAAAAACAAGATATCTCTGTTGAAGAATAAGAACAAGGACAAAACTCCACCGTGGTGGCCCCTTTCACAACCCATGGCTAGGCTCAGTACAACACATCCACTGTACAACATACCCCACTATTTAATCTGTACCCACCGTCAATCCAACCGCTGCAAGCTCTGCCTTACTAACTGACTGACTACTGGTCAGTTGCCTAACTACTACTAACTACTTTTCTCATCTGTTCCTTCTTGAATGCACCTTCCAGTACCCTCTCTTTATTGCACTGGGGCCTAACCCCATCCAAACCTACACCCCCCACCACCCCCCCCCCAATGAAAAAGAGAAGGGAAATAGGTTTAACAGCTGACCTCACAGAATTAGACCTGTCAATATTTTCATCAAATCCTTCACATGAACTCTTCCATACCATTGCTTCCTATGCTTGCTACATTCTAATGTCTTTCCACAATTCTCCAATCTCAACAAACTTAAAAAGGTTTATTAACAAATCCATATATTAATGAGTAAATATATTCACATATGTACATATAAGTGCACAATACTCTTCACAATTTAGTGTAACATGAGAATATACAGTCATCCTTTTTATTACCTTTGTAGCATAGTAAACATAATATGTATTTACAGATTTTCATATATAATTAACACTAGTACAAGTCTACCACAACACTCAAGCCAAGTGAAATTCAATAGTTGGCTTTCACACTATTTGCTGGTATAAAATCTTACAGCTCTCAGAATAACCAATTTTATCAATGGCCATGGCATACAAACAAAAACTGCCATACAATTATGGTGGATGCCATGGCGGCTTATGGCAGAAACATGGCGGTCATAATAAAGTAGTATAACATATATATCATATCTACAAAAATAAATTAAAAAAAAAAAGCACTACAATATATAGAAAAACACTACAGGTCCCATTTTACTGGGCAATGTGGAAAAAAGGATAATACCATGGCTGGAAAATGATGGAAAAGAGAACACAGCCTTTGGAGAAGATGCAGACTGAGTGAGAAACAGAGGACTGTTTGAAGAAGAAAAACAAAGGACCAAACGAAGCAAAATAGACAAAGAAAAACAGGCCCCTCCATCACAGTCCCGGAAAACAGCCAGAAAGAAAGTCTTCTCCGGCAAAAATGGTGAAGTAGAAGATGTTGGCTTCAGAGAGAAGGAAGAAAAACAGAGCACGAGAGAGAATAGGTATAGTACCCTGTAGAAGGACGCTTGCTCGAGAAGAGAAGGAAAATTTTTTCAGTGGGACAAGAAGTCCATTTTGCCCTTAAAAAAGGCCCAAACAACACTGTAGCAGGGCAGAATCATACTCTCGCTCCCTTTCTTTCTCCATCAAGCTTCAAAAACGAGCACCCACACCAAAAATTCATCTGTGATTAGGGCACAACCTCCACAACAAAAAGAACACTCCACAACAGCAAGTATTTTGCAGTCAACCACTGCTCCACACCAGTGCGACAGTGGCCCTATTGATAAGTATGCTTTAGGGTTCTTGGGTCACTTTGGACCAGGTTGGGTTAGAGGCCCATTTCAATTTTTTCCTCAATAACTAACATTTTCCGCCATGGCCGCAAGGCACATAATGGCTGCCATGGTACCACCATTATAATCCCGCCATTTTCCACCATGCTTGTAGTGGTTTGGGCGACAACCCCACCAACATCTGCCATGGCGCTGCTAGCTATTATTTGACAACACTGAGAATAACTTTTAACATTAAACAGAAAAGTTTCAAACTTCAACTGACCAACAAACACTTGGATTTGCTTCCCAAATTGTGTCCAAACCATATGACAAAACTGGAATAAAAATTTATATACTTTTGATTAATCTTCCATCAAGAAAAGACCAGTTACTTGAGTGCAGTCATCAATGGAAGAAACTGACCATTTGCTACTAGAAATGCTAGACATAGAGGCTGGGCCCCATACATCAGGATGAGTAAGATCAAAAGTGACACGATGGTGCTTAAACAAGTGAGCAACAAACATCAAAACAAGGGATTCAACCAACTTTTTGGAAAATAAAGATCAAACCATAGAGATCAATAGTGTAAAGGGGGGGGGGGGTGGTTATAAAAGACACTTATGCTGATGCCAAACTTGGGCACCAGAAGCTTTTGCAGTCAAATGATGACTGGAAATTGACCACACCACACTAGAACCATCTTCATCACACATGGGAAGGAGATAGTACAAACCCCCACCCCCCAATGCTCTGTAGCAACTCTAATAGTCCTCCCCATGGCAAGGTCCTAAAAGAAAAAATGAACGTGAAAGAAGGTTACAGTATGATTTAAATCTCAGGTATGTTGTTGGATAGAAACGAAGTTGATGGAAAGCTGGGGTCTTGAGGAACATGCACAAAATTGGTTAGTGGTGCGGAGCAATGTATATTAATGTCTCCACAACCTGCAACTGATGTACAAGTGCCATTAACCATTGCTGTGGTACGATTACCAGAAGGAGCTTGAAAAGATGAAAACTAAGGTCAAATGGTCAGTCACACCAGAGTCCATCCCCCATGAATTTTTAGAAACAGTAAATGAAGCCCTAAGGGATGAAAACAAAATCTCTTATTAGTCATGAATACAAGTACCAAAAGGCTTACCAAGGGTTTGAAGGTGCTCCATTTCCTCATTGCTAAGAGCTTCATGTTCATTTCTCACCTTTACAAGACTAGTTTAAGTATGATGCAATCTTCAGAATCCTCCTGCACAACTCAGATCCGGTCTTTCCATTGGAGTTGAAAGCATGTTGCTTCCATTTAAGCTGCTTTCTTACAATGAGTGCAGCAAAGATTATCTTTGTTAAGCCTAGAGGAGAAAGAGTTACATAGTTTGGTAGTCTTCCTTGTGGCCAAGGCAGACCTATTGAAGAATTTTTCACCAAGCATTACAGCTTTATGGATTTCTTCCACACAAACTGTGTAAAACACCTCGGAGAGTGGTAGTAGCTTCTCCTTGCCCAAAGTTTGAACCTATACAGGATCATGTTCAGGATTCAGTGTCCTTACTACCCTCCGCCTTCAGATTTTGCTACTGAGCCAACTTGAACCATGAGCCATCCAAGGTTCCATAGTAATTAGTGTTTAAAAAATTTTAGCCTTCAAGGTCCGGTGCTAAGGAATAAGGATACAATTGACTTTTAACTTGGGTGCCATTTTCTTCTCAATCTTCTCACCAAACAAACGAGAAAATAACTTGCCATTTTTTCCTCTTTCTCTCAAACCAAACACCATCAACTAAACACTTTTTCTCTCCTTTGTTTTCTCTTCTATTTAATTTCTCTTCTCTCCATTTTCTTTCCTCTCATTTCATCTCCATTGCAATACAGAGGCTTAGGGTTTGTGAGAGAGAGACTTAGGATTTAAATAGTGAACTATCACAATGGATGCAGCTTGAGCTATGACCCATAAAAACAGAGAAAGCTGCGGGTAAATAAAATGGGACAAGAACCAAGCGGAATGGTAGCCGAGAAAATGGCACATGGAGCTCACATGCCAGCTAAGGAAAAGGCATGTGTGGGCACATGTAGAGGATTCCAGCAAAAAGGCTTCAGGGGCGGGCCTGTCCAGCAGTTCTGATGCAGTATGAGCCTATGAGGAGAGGAGAGGTTCTGGAGATCATGTGGCAAAAGGGACTGAGCATGAGCACACAATGAAAGCATGCAAATGGATAAGGAAGTTGTAACAATGGCTAGGGTTGGCTCACTATGAAAGCTGGGTACTCAAAACGAGTCAGCAATGAAGGTCAAGTTAGCAGAAACAGAGACTCACAAAACAAGAGCTTTAATACCATGTTGGGAGGTAAATTTCTAAATATTATTTGATAATTTGAAATAATAAATGGGCACTGCATTGTATACCTTAAGAAAGACAATTACTTTCATAATATAAGCTAAAATTATGGTAACTATCAATATTTCTTAATTTACAATAATTACAGTATGTTACAAGTTACACATTATAGTATGAATCTACCAAAACACATTTCATGACATGTCTGCATATAATACAATTCATGTTGAAAACAAATTGACACATACTTGATTAAATTGGGTGCAAGGAAGAATACATTTTTTTGTGCTTCCTTACATGCAACACAAGTCCAATAACATTATTAGTTTTCTTGGGATTATAAACCATCAAGACACAAACGACTACTTGTTTGAAAGTAATTATACAGTTTCTTGAAATTAAAATCCAGTCCAATACCATTTGAAAAATTAAAATGAAAAATATTTGAACTGATTTATTGATATTTGATACAAACTTGTTCCAATTTTCTTTTAAAGCAAAAGTGTTGAGCCCTGTAAAATACCTTGTATTGAACTTACATAAATAATTTAATCATGAAAAAATAAGAGCATCAGCAAATCATCAAATACGTCTGCGTTAAGACATGACAAATTTAACAGGTAATTGATTAATTAACTTCACAATTTGATAGATGCTTTGATATCCATAGATAACTAGGGAATAGGAGGAAAGCAATCTGATTTTGTCGTACAGAAAATTGAAGCATGGGGGGAGATGGAGAAGTAGGAACTTAAAGTTTATTTTAACCACTAGTTTGGGAAACGAATCTAACCTTGGTTTAACAATCGATAGCTGTGAGGAAGCACAGCCATGAAAGGACTAAGCTTGTGACGTTCTCCCAATAACTCTGTCAGATATCTGAAAATAAAAGCAACAAACCACACATTGAGAGCAGGACATTGTAGCCATTAGTAAACAGTAGTCACAAAAAGCAAATGTACATCATAATAAAATTATCAAGGGTCCATATTTACCCGTTTATTTTAAATTTAGTAAACCAAAACAAAAATTATGAAAAGAAAAAAAAAACAAAGACAAGGAAGGTGGACCATGAATTTAAGCAAAACAAAAATTATGACCAAAAAAAAAAAAAACAGACAAGGAAGGTGGGTGTGTGAGAGTCCTTTCACACATGATCAATTAGCAATAATGAAGTAAGGCCATCTCTCAAAGTAAAGCACTGAACAACAAGATCACCTCATTCCCACAAAGATCAGGCTGATAAAAGCCAATCAGAGAACATTCAAGTATTCAACACACAACCAAATCCATCATCCACCAAAACCCTCTCCCACATTTTTCACTCACACCAATTTCGTATCATCAAGGATCTGCTCTTCCGATCAAGTCCACTCAAGCGTCAGATCAGGTCACAAAAATAACCATCCCACCAATCAAACACGAAATCCAACTACACAACAAGCATATTAAGTAAACACACTGTAACCCTTCGACTATTCAAAAAAACAAAACACAAAAGCCCTATCTCCCCCTTCCTAAAAGAAAAACCCTCATTCCACATCCAAAGCATCGAATCAATCCATAGATGTTAAATAACAACACAGGATCACGAAAATTAAGTAAAAAAAATAAAAGAAGAATCTTTAAAAGCATTAATGAAAATAAATGGCAATAAGTGAAGATCCAACAGAGAGAAAGGGAGAGAGTATATATACTTGTCCTGTTCAACGAGAGCAGTGGAGCGAAGACCGGAGAGGTGAGGAGAGGGAGGCGCTGACGGCGACGGCGGAAAAGCCATGTACCTGCCGGCGCCGGAGGATGACATCATCGATCTCTCTCGGCCACGGCCTCTACTAACAACAACTACCCTTTCTTTCTGATGGGAATCACTGAATCGAGAGGGTGTGGAGAGAGACAGAGAGGGTTGTGTTGTATCGTGAAGGTTTGTTAGTGAGAGAAAGAAGGGTAAGAAGTAGTAAAGAGTGTAAGTTTTAGAGAGAGAGAAAGAGTGTTATGCGAGTGATGGAGATGGGTCCCACACAGGTAGACGTGCTGTCCCTCTAATTCAGCCAGCCACACCCTTCGTCGGTGGCATTATTACTACACACTTTTTTCTCTTTTTTCTAAGTCTATTTAATCATATATCACTTTTAATGTGTTCAAAAATATACAATAAAACTCTATACACAGTAAGTTTTGATAAATTTTAGAAAATTTAATGAATTAAAAATCATAAATATTTTGTATTTTAAATATATTTCCAAATTGAATAAAAAATAATAAATAATAATTTTTTATTAAATATAGCATAATTTTTTTTTATTTATTTATTTAGATAAAAAATTACATCAACTAAATAATTTAGTGATTTTTTTAAAATTATTTAGTAAACTTTCTAATTCATCCTTTGTTAGTAATTTTATTTGCTTCTAGAATATTTAATTAGTGTAAATATAATTTTGATAAAAGCAAAAAAGTATTTAAAAAGTTATTTTATATGAAGTAATAAATAAGAAAAAATTTATCTTTATTCAAAAATATTTACGGTATAGATTCATTGAATCTTCCAACTTTTAATAAAAAATTATTATATATAAATTATTATCATATATTTAAATTTAGACAATAAAAATAATAAATTATTTTGTTAATCAGTTTTAATTGATAAACAAAAGAACATATTTAAAGTCTTAAAGAATTATCAGGATCGGTGGTGTTACGATCCGGTTAAAATTAAGAATCTGATTCAAGACCATTTTAAATGTATTTTTACTCTCTTGATAAAAATAGCTTTCAATCTCATATTTCTTTTAATAAAATTGATAAAGTTTATTTGGATAATATTAATAAAGTTATCTCTTTAGAAGAAATTAAAATTACTTTATTTAGCATGAAAAACTACAAATATCCTGATTTAGAAGAATTGTATGTCTTATTTTTTTAAATTCAAATAAAATATTCTTTATCATCATATATTTAAATTTATAAATGAGGTTTGTTAATCTTTCTATAATTGCTAATGTAAACTATACTATTTTAATCTTCATTCCTAAAGGTTAAAATCTTGAAAATATTTTTTAATATAGACTATTTTTTTTATACAATGTTATTTATAAAATTATCAATAAAAATCAATGTAGTTTTGTCCCTAATAATCAAAGAATTGATAATATAATTATTTTTCAATAATTGATCCATTCCTTTGATAATATAAAAAGGAAAATTAAATACATAATTTTAAAACTTGATCTAAATAAAGCTTAGCTAGAGATTCACTAGAGAAACTTAGGTTTTAGAAAATTTTGGACTAACTTTGTTATTGAATATATCTCTTCCTTTTCTTTTCAAATTAATTATAATAGTGAGATAGTTTTCTTCCTTCTAAGGGTATTCGTCAAAGAGACTTTCTATCTTTCTATATTTTTATTTTTTGTTTAGAAAGGTTAGTTCATTATATTTAGTTTATGATTAATAATGGTGAGTGACACCTTTTAACTCTGGAAAGGAAGATTGAGATTTCACACATTTTTTATACACATAATCTTTTTCTAGTTACATAAGCTTCCAGGGATCAAATTAAAATTATTCAATCCATGATGAACCTTTTGTGTAAGGTTTCTAGCCAACAGATAAATTATGATAAATTCTCAACTTTTTTTTTTAATACTAGCTTAGATGCAATGAAGTTATTTAGTTGTTCTTTCTTTTTTTTTTCTTTTTTTTTTGCCTCATTGATGATAAAAAAAATACATATTAAAAATAACTTTTTACAAATTAATTTGTATATTTAAGATACTTTTTAAAATATTTTTATAAGAAATACTTATTAGTGATTTTTTAGTTAAACTATATAAAAAGAAAATTGTTAACTAATATCTTAAAAATATTGATTAAAGAATTATTAAATATTAAATTTTATTATAAAATCATGTTAAAATGAGAATAGGTGTATTCTTATAATTTTTAACATAATACTTTTATACTCTATTCCTTATATTAGCATTTTTATAAAAAAATATTTTTAAATTTATTAATCATTAAATTTATACTTTTATTTATCATTTAGTTAATAAAAAACTCATATATCACACATATAAAAATATTTTTTTGTTTTTTTATTTTTATACATTCTTCTATATCATGTAATATATATCATATATATATATATATATAATTATTTTTTATTTTAATATATTTTAACATATTTTTTAATAAATTAATAATTTTTAATTTTTAATTAATATACTTAAAATAATAAAAAATTATAATATATACACTTCTAATACAATTTTTTATGTATTTTAGTATAAATTTTAATAAAAACATATTATTTTAAATTTTGCTAACTATGTCAGTCCCACAAAAGCTTTAAAGGTAGAAGAACATTTAGATGACTCTCACAAAATAGAATATGAGAATAAAATTGATAAAGAAATATCACCCATTACTAAATGATTCAAGTTGGTGTGAAAGAAAGGACAATTAATAAAATCATATTAGAAACCTTGTCAAAGGAGGAGTTTCAAATGAACCTCTTTACAAATTTTGATATAAACTCTATTTTTGTAACATTTTTGAGAAGTTTGAAGGATAAAAAATAAATAAAACTTTTCTTGTAAGTTAGCTATTTCTTTAAAAGTTTTGAGAAGCTCTCTTATTTGATTTTTTAAAATTTTGAAAAGATAAGTTGTTTTTAACTTACAAGAGAAGTTTTATTTATTTTTTATATTAAATTTTTTTATAAAGATTTTTTTATAAGTTAACTCAAATAAAGGAATACTATGCTACAAATGCAAAAATCTAGAAGTATTAAAGTTGATTATCCAAACCTAAGAAAGGAGAAAAGTGATGTTGGAAAAATAAAAAAGCAAAGATGATCAATATTGAAAGACCTAGATAACACTTCTTTTAATAGTGAGAGTGGAGAATTTGAGAAAGCATATCTTCTTATTGATAGTTAGAAATGTATAGTTAGACAATAAGGTAAATATTAAACAATTTTAATTAGAACACTCTTATGAGCTTCTTTAAAAGATCCAAAGGCTTTTATTTTTAAATACAATGAGCTTTAAAGGAAATATAAACACTTATCTTCAAATCACAAGTTTAAAGATAATGAAATTGAAAAATAATAACAATGATATTTTAATAAAACAAGCTTCCCAAAAATAAAGATCCCTTTCTATAAAATAATCATATGATGAAATCATATGCTTAAAGTCATTATACTTCTAAAAAAAGGTTGATGAGATTACAAAGGATCTTGCAAATTTTTTTTCAATAAAAATGCTAATTTAGACAAAAATTTAAATAATCAAAGGTATTTCAACTACCAAAATAAAAAAAGGATTTAACAAAAATAAGAAGTTTCCTATAGAGATCATAATTCTTATTACCTGTTATATACTTCAACGGTAGATTTTTTTTTTAATTGTTATTAATTTTTTTTAGAAACATATTTTGAATAAAATTACAATCAAAATATTGAATTAAAAGAAAGTTTTAATTTTCTTAAAGAAGTGAAAAAGAGTTTTTTTTTTTTTTTTTTACTTATACACGTGTAGTAACTTAAAAAAGTTCTTGTTTAATTTATAGAAAAATCTAAAATACTTATAAGCTAGTAGAAAATTTGAATATTAAATCATTACTCTTTTTCTTTTATTGAGGTAAGGAAATAAATCAAAAGAATCCAAGTGTACAATATAGTCATTCAACCACTAACTCTATCTACGTTATAAGTACATAACAAAATAACAATTTAATAAAATAAACAAGAATTTTGTTAACTTCAACTCTTAAAAATAAGTTTAAGCATTTACTGATAAAAAAAATTTATAAAAAAAGTACACAATTATTATATTGAAGTTATAAAAATATAATAAATACATATTTTTCTAATAAAAATTTATTAAAAAATTAATGTTATTTTTAAAAATGTCACCACACATTTTATTAAGTCAATTACTTATTAATCAATGTAAAAGCCTATTGAAAAAAAAAATTTATACTAAAAAAAAGTAAGTTGTCAGTGTTAATATTGCTTTAATTCTAATGCTTTAATTAGTTAGAAAAAAATGACATGCTTGCATATATACATTAAATTTAAATATTGAAACAATGTACAAAAATATTTTAAAATAAGATTGAAATATAATTTTTCATAAATTACTACATCTTTTTGTATGCTTTTTCTTTAATAATACTAATAAATAAATAAATAAATAAAAATAGAGTCAATGTAGACTCTTTAAAATTTGACACTAAATAAAAAATTTATCAAAATACTTATATCAATCAATTGAATACATCTTTATACATACTCTTTATTTTAATTTAGTAACAAGAAAAATTAAAATAAAAAGTCATATAGTAAGTAAAAGTTGATACCAAATAACATAACTACTAAAATTTTATAACTTCAAATATCAAGTTAAAATTTAAAATATTATTAAGAGGTTGAAATCAATTGCTTATTATTACATCTAAAAGTTGCATAAGAATATTAAGTGGTTCTTGAATTTAATTAAAAAAAAAAACTATAAGTTCTTTTTAGAAATATGATCATACAAAAGGTTATAGACTACATTTAATGTTGTTTCTTTATATTCTACAAAAATTGTCAATTGATAATATTTCATGGTAATATTCTTACATTAAAGATTTTAAAGCATGATAATTAATACATAAATTTAAGTATCAAAATTTCTACAATTATATAAATTTAATATCATAATAATTAAACCAAACTTTATATTTTTATTTATTTATTTATTAGTTTAGCAACTTATTCAAAATTAGTTAACTTTTATTATAATTTTTTTTTTTGCATGTTGAGATTACAAATCATATTTTTTCTAAAAAAAACACACTACACAAGTGTTTCTACACTATGTTATAATCTAAGAAAATTTTCTACAAACCTTAAGAAAATTTGCCTTGACATATATTTACATTCTATTCCTTTATACTATTTTTTTTCT